AGATATCAATATGACTGTTCTTCTAGAAATCAAACTTCAAAAAAAATGGCATTTTAAAATAAGTATTATAAGAGGGCTAATGTTAACCCCAGGTATCAGTCCTATTAGTATGTGTCGTTTTTCCTATTTGCTTATTAACTAAGATTCAGTCTGGAAATAAGTTCTGGGAAGTACATTAACTTCAAATACAATTTAGTACATTATTCTGGTTGCTGCTCTTTAGGTAGCTGCTCTTTCCTTGATGCACCATTATTTCTTTTCCTGCCATGAATGGATCTGCCACCAGATTTGTTTCCATGCAGCTTGTAAACCAAGATCTCTGAATCTCTCTAGCTCTCGGGCAACTTTCTGCTCCTTCCACAATCTCTCCCCCTCACCCCACCGATTAATCCGCAAGACTAGTCCTGACTAATCCCTTTGAGCCATATGGAGTTTGAACCTTTGAGATCTCAACTATGCCCTCAGAATATACAGCTCTGCCTAAGGCAGTGCTTTTCAAAAATTGCAGCAAACAGACCCAGCCAAGGAGGAGGGAGGGACAGGAAGGCCCCACCCCAATACTTTTCCAGAATGTAGCAGTTGAATCCGAAGTTTCAAGAGAAGAACGAAACACTATTTTTGAAAAGTAAGGAGGAGAAAAAGTGCACTTGACAACCAATCCATAAATAGTATAGAAGGGCACTACTGCTATAGAAGGGCAAGAAGCAATCATGACAAGGACAACTTCGACAAGTAAAAACTTGGATCTAATGCAGAAAGATTGAAATAGAACACAATATATGCATTTGTTTCAACATAGAATATCCGATGCACGTTTGTCTTGTTCCTACATCTCTTGCCATTTCAGATACATTTTCAATTCTGAGTAACCACCACAATGTTTTGGGGGAGCAGACACAAAGGTCACAAAAATCTCTGTGATCTATTTCCAAGTAGTCAACTACCACCCAATCTTCCCATCTTCTCATTTGCACCTGAATTATGTAGGTTAGTCTGAAGGCCTACAGGAAAAAAAATCCCTCTCTCACGCACAAATCTTATTTTGCCAATGAAAATAATAAATATTGAAATATTCCAATGAAGTATTCTTTACTATAGCATGAAAATGTTTGCCTCAGTTTGAGTATAACTCAATTTTTTTTTTAACCATATTGGCCTTACTTTAGAACCAGGAATTCTTCATCATTCAGAATTTGGTTCCAATTAGAAGGTGCATTTTCATGGACATATGTATTGTTGAAAAGGATCTATTTGGGCAACAGGTAACATGCTTTGATTTTGATAGCTGCATTTGGAAAATATTCTATAAAATCTTAACTTACTGTAAACTTAACTTACTGTGCACCATAGAGTTCATTTACTCCTTTAAAACTGGGGCTAGCTAAATGAACTACTAGAGCAAGGATCTTCAAACTTGGCAAGTTTAGGACTTGTGGACTTCAACTCCCAGAATTCCTGAGCTAACATGACTGGAGGGGGAATTCTGGGAGTTGAAGTCCACAAGTCTTAAAGCTGTCAAGTTTGAAGACCCCTAAACTGGAGCATCATCCCAAACCCAGATCTTGGCTTGTTTACTATATAACTGGTAATAGGGTGTCCCTGTACATTCTAATGCAATTTCTGGTTTGTTTAAGCCAATGGAGTTAGTGGAGGGAGGCAGGCACAGTATTCACAAACTGGTGACAATGTGTATGATTAGAAAAGGTAATGCTTAACAACAGTGTAAATTTGATATTCAAATATGTCACATTCCCCTAATTTATATTCTTCTTGTCCAAATAACACTCTTCATCTTCTTTTAAATACTAGTGGTTCCTATTTCAATTTTGCTTTTGTTTATTTAAAATCTGAATGAAAAAACTTACAACACTTGACCTTAAGTAGCATGAAATGCAGCTTTCTGCAGTTCTCTTGTTCTCATTCTGGACACATTTCAATTTTGCTTGTACAAAACTTTGACATAAACATGTACGTTACAATTATGTATGCTGAATAATTATAAATAATTCCTTTTATGGTTTTAAGCAATGCCATTAGTTTAATTTGATCAGAATGTGCTGCCCCATTAGCAGTGCTGTACAGCCTGTTTTCAGAGCTTTCCTGTCTATCAACTAGAAGCCATTTTTATTTGCCAACAGGCAACGTACAAGTAGAAATCTTACCCTTCCTCCAGGGCCATGTTTCTTGGATTGTTGATGGGGACAGACAAGCATGAATGTCCAAGAATTTGGAAAAATGATAACCTCTCACCTTTATTTCCAGAGGAACCATTCCATGGGCCAGCAGCACAATATAGTGGTTATGTGGCCTTTCTGCTCTCTTTTCACCTGTTTACATTATGCACCAAAACATGCATAATGTATTGGTGCATACAATTCATCACAAATATATTTATGTGTATAGTGAAAGCCAAAAAACAAACAGAAGCAAAACAAGAAATCTCATATTGTTCAGTGCTCCCCCTAATAAAATAGTGAGGGAACTTTTTCAGAAGGGGAAAGCTTGACAAATGTGAGGAATCTATAAGTAAGATCCAAAAGGGTTTGAGAAGTTTACAGATACTTTCAGTACTGCAAAACTGGAGAATCCCTATTCTAGGAATGGTAATATGTCTATCATGGTGTCATGTCTAACTATTTTTTTTTTGTAAATTTTATTTGAGTTTTCACAAAGAGAAAAAAATACAAATAAAACATCTTTTTTGAAAGCAGCATAATCCCGGGTTACATTTCTTCGTACAGACACAAATTCAGGTTCGTGCTCATTTTTATATTCTATTCCATATCTTATTACTATTTTACATTTTCTGCATAGCTTCTCCCCTCTTTTAATTTTCTCAATTTTATTTTAATTATCTCATCTCAATTCAAATCATTGTATTTATATTTTTTGTCTGTTCTGTTTCAATTAGCTATTATCTTTTCTCATTAAACAAAATTTCTCCTGTAGTTACTGATTGGAGTATGATGCCTTTATATCTTTTCCCTAAAATTGTAACATTCAATATAATACATAAACTTCCATTCGGATTCTGCTTGGTACATTCTTAAAATACACACTGTATTCTTTAAAAATAATAATTATAAATGTATATAATTAAAACAACAGTCCATTCCAATTCAATTCTATCATTAATATTAATATTCATTAAAGTCTTAACATCTTTAACATTACTTTTCAATTAAATATCATACTTCTATGGGAACAATTATAAGCTTTCCATAGTTAATTCTCCCCCTTCACTTATATTTTATAAAACATTAACTAATTAAAATGTTCCCGTTCCTTCCTAATTCAATTTTTTCATTTATTTTATTTCACTTATTTTATTCACAAACATTTCACTAAATTACACTAACTATTTTATCCCTTATTTTAATCACACGTCATTTCCAATTTTCTACAGTTAGTTCTATTACTATTATAAAAATACAATCTTATGTACCTTTACAGAATCCCTTTTTCAGTAAGATTTTCACCCATTATCTCTACATAGGTCCTGTTTCTCTATATCTTGCTCCGGTCCTTTGTAACTTCTTTTCCTTTCCTTCTTCCCTCTCTTCTTCTCTCTCCCCTTTTTACCCCCTTCTCTCTCTACCTCTATTTCTCTCTTCTGTATTCCCCTTTTCTGTTGCTTTCCAGTATTATACTTATTTTTTGAATTATTTTTCTTTTCTTTGGTTGTTTTTTAAGTCTTAAATTCTTTATTCTCTTTCCCCACTTTCCTTTTTCTTTCCCACATAAAATTGCTCGTTCATTAAAGATGGCTTCTTCTTTGTCCCAGTCTTCTTATTTTGCAGTCATTTCTTGTTGTTTCTCACAGTTCCAAATCTCTATTTCTAAGAATTGAAAAACGAAGCCAAAAGAACTTCTCCCTTCTTGTGCATCTTCTTTGTACTTTTTAAGTTCCATTTTCAATTCATCCAGAAGTGGTGCCATTGTATAAATTTTTAAACAACCACCTGATTGATTTTAGTCATTCAAATATAATAACCAAGAATCCAAAGATCACCAAATAATCCAAATACACGCAAGCTGTTTCTTTTTTGCTCTTTTTTTTCACTTTCTCTTCCTGGGGTTACTATTTAGTTGCAAAGTTTCAGTTACAATGTATCTTTTAGAAGTCTTGTTGAAGTTTTACTGTAGATTCTTTTTAATTCCAGGCAGTCTCCTCCCTCTTCCAGATCCTGCCCTTATTCTTTTTCTCTCCCTTCCTGCTTATGAAAAAGAAAATTTTTAATGTCCAGAAATCTTTATTATCCCTTTTGTTTTATTTTCAGCTTAATTGCCTATTGATGTCAAAGCGGATTTTTCCGATTTCTTATTTAAGTCTCTTAGTTGTCAATATAGGGAATGGGAGAGAAGAAGAAAAAAACCCAAACCTTTCCCTTTTCATTTTCCTTCGCTGCTTCCGACTCTTCTTTGGGAGCGATGTTATTTTTTGTACATTTAAATTCCAGGGTACCTTAGTTGTTGCTTTTACAATTTAACCCGGTCAGCCAAAACTTTCGCTTCTTATCTTTCTCCTGCACATTCTTTTCCGGTCGAGTTCTTCTTTGTGGTGGCCATTTCTGACCACTGCTGCAACCGCCTTCGGGAAGGGGAGTAATGGCCAGCTGAGGAGGAGAGATGCGGCTCTCCTCAACCATGCTGGCAGTCTCCCCCCTCTTCACCACCTCTACGGGGTGGCTTAGCCCCGAAACCAGCCGGCTTGGGGCGCTCCAGCAGCGAGCCCAGACCGAAACCGCGCACGATCGCAAATTTCTGTCTGTCGCCGAAGCCCTTCAAACCGGAAGTTTGGTGTCATGTCCAACTATTTAAAAGCAGCACAACTGGGATGTATATTGCTGCTTAGTTTCAAGTCCCTAGAAATCCCACAGCTCTCCTTTACCCGGTGCCCTATACATTGGACATGAATGATGATACTGGCTGGAGGATCCAATCTGGGTCAGCCTTCGGGACCAGAGGTTTTGTCTTCTGAGCTTTCAGACTCATGCTGGAGTTCATCTTCAGGTAACTTCTCTCTAGCTGGAGTCTGAAAGCTCAGAAGACAAAACCTGTGTTCCTGATGACCCACCCAGATTGGATCCTGCAACATTATCCTGGGACACATACATTCATCTTCATCACACTGGTTGGAGTTATGGAAGCTGATTAAGGATTAAGAAAGGTTCCTCTGGAGGAGAGGTCATCTTCTTAAATCATTGTGTTTTGTTCAACTCACACTTTGTTACCTATTACAAAGTTGTCCAATAGATCCAAAACAAAGATAAATGCAAACAATGCTACAAAACAAGCAAATATATGCTTCTACACATTATTTTAATTAGGGGTTGGAAATCTGATGTCTTCCAGATATTTTAGACTACAACTCCTGTAATCTTTTATTATGGTCCCAAAACATCTGGAAGATACGATATTTCCTTCTTCTCATCTCATAAATATACTGTCTTAAAAAACACACTACAAAAGTGAATAGCCACAATTTCAACCTATTCTCAAAAAAAAAGGGGGGGGGTGGCGGAGAGCTCAGGAATGATTTCTGGACAAAATCATCAGCACCAGATTCCAAGACCACCAGGCCAGACCTTTCGAAGTAGGTCAACCAGAGCAAAGGCCACATGGGTAAAACTGATGTAAGCTTCCATGTAATTCAGTGCTATCTGCAATAAACTGGATGCTTTCTTCATGCCTAGTAAAAAAGCAAGAAACTAATTTAGCATGGAGGATGGATACATTTCAGACAAGAAGGAGAAGGATACAGGTGCTTTCACAATAAGACAGATGAAATAAAGCAGTACAATTCACAAACTGGATTAACTCTTCGGCAGACTCAAGGAGGATAGGGAGTAATACACACTTGAAGGAAAATAGGATGAATTATGTCCAATTTATGGTTACAAAAGGGAGGAAAAGTCTGTACAGATTCATCTTTGTGATGCACACACAATATGAATCTTCCAAGGACAAATAATTAGATTTTTTGGCTTGTGCTAGCCAAGGACATCTCGTTTCCCTTTTCAAAAAGCATCTTGCAGTTTTCAAGGCTCCAACTACTGTGTCCGCCAAGTTCTTGCTCCAGTCAGCTATCTAGAGCTCTAGACAGCTGTGCAAATCTTTTAAGATTCTGATGTCAAAGTCACCTAGCGCTGTTAGAAGTATAACAAGCAACAAAATATACCAACAATAATATAATTCAAACAACATTAATTGTCACGGTCCAACTTTTGTACCTATTTAATTTGGTAGCACCCATATGTAGAACATGAAGGATTAGGGCACACGTGCCAAGGTCACCAATCATAGAAGACAAAGAGCGGCTTTCTTTAATGGAATCAAGGAAAGGAAGCTTTGATTGAAATTGGATTTGGAATTATATATTACCACATTTTCTAACAGATTCCTGCTCAGCTTCAGCATATATTTTCAAAACTTTCCCATTTCCACAAGGACTTGCTTTTGTCATTTTCAATACAAACACTATGTATTTGGAATTATAGTTCCCTCCACCTATGAAATTCAAATGGTTATCAGCTGTCTCTGTTATTTGAAAAATCAATAGGGGATAGAGTACCCATCTATATATTACTATTCTATTATGCCTCTGGTTGACCTCTGAGCACTTTCCAAGAGATTAATCAATATTATTTATTTATTGACAGAATATATTTAAATACAGCCTTTCTGTCAAGACACTAAAAAAATATTTGTCCTCTCTTCAGAAGTTCCTTTTGGGGCTTCCCTTTCCTGCTTTCCTTAGAGGAAAAGGACAGAAATCTTAATCAACTGCAGAAAAAAATTAACCAATGCATTTTCAATTCATTTCTCTTTACTTATAGGTGCAAAGCAAACTATTAAAGCAAACTATTACAGAAAACCTTTTATCAAAAATTAAAAAATACTCTAACCTTTATGCAATATATTTCAATTTTATTAATCTGATATCTGTATCTGTGAAGAGTTAGGATAATGTCCTATATAGAAGTAACATTCTCCTTTATTCAAATACCTATTAATTAGAAAGACCCCTCAGAAACTATGAGACTACATTAACTTTGAGACTATATTGCTGGATAAGTAGTATGCAAATAATTGTAAATTATTTTTATTGAACTGCAGCTACAATAATCAAGAGTAAACATCCATTCCTTGTACTTCGAGGGATGTAAAATTTATATACCATGGAACAGATTGAGATGGCCAGACTGACTTCAGCTGACTACTCTGATTAAAGAAAGTATTTTGTCTAACTTGTATCAACATGGAAAACACTTTTGGAGTTCTCCTGAGAAATTGAAATGAATACAAATTTAATTTTAGGACTTGATTAGAATTGTTTATCAAAATAAACAATGTTTATTATTGTTGACTGCAGAGTAAGCAATTAATGTATTTTATATCTACAGCTGTACCACAGAAAGTAGGAAGTTATTTTTCCTCTTTCCCTTTGAGCTCTTGAGTTTGCTTTTTCTTTATCCTTTTATTTCATTCTTTCATACCAGGCACACAACTGGTGTGGGTCACTTTATTAAGAGTGTAAGTTCCAACCATGTAATTCCCAAAAGGGGCCAGACAAGTTAGGAAAATGCATATTTTTTTTATAAGAATAAAAACAGGGCAAAAACAAATATAGTAGTAGAATGCCATATCTCTGTTTCTGTAATCCAGAAATACAACATTCTGACACAAGGTATTTATCCAATTCTGGAGTGGCAAATGAGTATTTAAACATGGTAAAACAATGTGTGAATAAAAAGCAAAGTGAAAACTTTTTTTTTTAAATATCAGTATGCTTCTCCAAGGTCTGGAACTGTACATATGAAAGAAAAAGAGTGATAAATGCAAGAAGCATAGCCCTCAAGAGAATTCACCTAAGGCAAAATTGTCCATCAGATATTCCACCATGAGTTGCACAAATAGAACTCTCATCATCAAAATCTTCGTAGTTCAGGAATTTGCCAAGCTGGGGAAGGCAGCCCTGTATCATCTAGAAACACATGTGGGTATCTACATTTTATCATACAGATGAGGCTATCTACTTCTCCCAAGGATATCAACCATTGTCACACTCCAATATTGTTTTTGTGCTAGTGATGGTGATGGCATCGAGGCCAGTCCCATTTCCATCCCATCATCAATTATCAACCATTCCTTCCTCTTTTTTCCCCAATGGCAAAGAGCCCTTGAATCATAAGCAAGAGTATCCTCAATGAAATTCAGAACAAATAATAAGGAAAAGTATAAGGTTGTTCCATAAAGCCGGTCCTGGTACCCATCTAAGAAAATGCCTATTAAATTTTTAAAACGTTGATCTTTGAAAAATGGAAATCCAAATTAAGCCTTCGTTCTGCTATTAATGGGTTGGGAAGTTGGGAGGTTATAAAACGTTCAGAGCGGTTACTTAGCTGAAATCCCAGCATTGCCCATCATGGGAAAAAAAATTTTCCATACAGTAAAAGGAAGTGACATCAGAGACTTGGAACTTTTTATGAGTACAGCACCCTGCTAAGCGGTACAAAGAGGGCAATGTGAATTCTAAAGGCTCTCTTATTGCAAAGAGAAGCCCTTCAGTCTCCCCTCAGGCTGAAGCCTTTGTATTGCCTTTACTACAACAGCCTTGCCTGGATTCATTAATGGCCATGTAAGTTCCAAAAAGGAATTGCTGCTGATTTACCTCCAGGCAAACCCTAGCTTCTGTTTTAAAAAAAAAAAAAAACCACCCTAAATAAACAAATGCAAAAAACAGAAACATTAAAATGTTTAAAAAAAATCTCAGAAACTATATTGTTGGGATGAGAGGAACATAACAACCTTAACTGACCTTAATATTGGCATGCCGCACTTCAGGTTAATGCAACTCAAAACAAAGTCCCAAATCACCATAATGGAGGAGGAAAAGCCCCAGCGTATGAAAGCAAGAGGAGGATAGCTGATTACATGATTATTTCAACAATATTAATCAGTGATTCTGTGCTTACAAGTAGGGCTCTTGACAGTCATTGTTTTCAAAGATAAAATTCATCTGTGCTGAATTCTACAAATTTGCTCAAACCTTTTGTAGGTCACTTTGGCTGTTTGACAATAGATAGTAGCCTTCATTGGGGGCTGGCAAGCTGGTCCTAGTATATTACACAGGAGAGAATAAGACCAAAAATGGAATTACTTCCTTCCACCCCCTAAAAGGAGGGCTACTAGCTAGGTACTTTTTGAACAAAAGCTATTTGGTTACTATATTGCAGAAAAAATGCCTATTAATATGCTCTCTGTATCTGGCCACTGAACAATGGTATAGTAGAGCCTTTCCCAATCTGGCAATTACTAGATATGTTAGAAATGCAACCTCCATAATTCCCAGCCAGGGGAATGTTGGGAGTTGCAGTCTGGAGAGTGCCAGATTGGGAAAGACTGATGTAACACATTCAAGATAGGACAAAGCATTAATTATATTTTCCAAACAACCTAATTATCTAAAACCCTATTTTATTATCTCAAGTGCCGTCCGATGTTAATAATTCCTTCCAGCAAGCAACTCCCCTCATTTGTCAAAACATCTATTAATTCAATTAAACTAGATCAACCAGAGCCACTTTAGAGTAGCAGACAGCAAAGACTTGGCAGCTATTTGGATAGTACGAAGCGACACCAACATCTTATTACCATCATCCCAACTGCTTATATTCTGCTTGCTTTCACCTAAAGGGCTATAACACCGATTTTGGCCTTGCAATCTGCCACTTACTAATGCAAATATCCACGGCAGGCACCCAAATGGCAAACTGCACCTGCTTTGACAGTAGGGTCATGTGTACAGTCATAAAAACACCAGACTCTGTTCAAAAAACAATGCCATAACGTGGTTACACATATTCTGTTTTGAGTGGGTAAAAGAGTTATCACAATTTTAAGGCCAAGAAAACCCCATGTAGACATGCAAACCCCATTCTGTGGCATGCATACTAGAGAAGATGTGAAATTCTTAAAATACTGGAAAATTATAAGGTAGCAAGTAGGTAGGAGAGAGAAATTAAAACAAAGAAAGAGCATGGAATCTCTTTTGAAAGCAGTTTCTTCCTAAATATTATTCTTGATAAATCAAAGTAAGCTTTGCAAAAGCTAGACTGTGAGTTCAGATGATAAAAAGTTGCCATCAGGACAATAAGTTTCTCCCTCTAACACAGCTATGAAATAAAATGAAGAATACGTTTATAGAGATTTATATACACAATTTCAGACAAGGCAATTTTCAGACAACATTTGGAGATTCAGGTAGGATTTAGATATCCCCAAGCCATCTAAGAGATGAAGCTGTGTCATTTGTATAAAGCTCAAGTGACTCAGTGAATTGGAAAATTAGTTTAAATTCATTTAAAAATCAAACACATGTAACTTCAAAGAATTGACTTGCATGTAAAAAGTAAAATCATTGCTCTAATATGTCTTCTCACTGATAGCAATTAAACCAATGATAGTAAGATGGCACTATCAGAATCATTCTACATAATTTGGTCCCCATGGTGGAAACAAGCTCAGAACAATAACCAAAACAATGTTAGATACCCAACTCAAGAGACACCTGTTGTAGTAGTGATGCAGACTGGAAGTATTTTCCATTATAAAGCCACTAATACCTCCATTCCCAAGTCTAGTAGCACTTTATTTGTTTGAAGGGAAATATATATTATGCTACAAAATCATTTTCAATTCTATGGCTTTCACTTCTCCAGATTGTCTGGTGTCTATTATGAAATTGAGAACTTAGCCACACATGTGTGCATACTGCAGATAAACAATACATAATTCACCTATTAATAATAGCATTTAATGACCTTCACACTAATATTAGCAATTTCACAACTATCTTGGAAAATAAAATAGCATTACAAATTTGCAGTGGGACATAGGGGTAAAATGAGATAAATTTTGAACAGCTTCTCTTCACATTTTTACACACCCATATTTCTGAACCATTGTTCACACTCATAATTTCTATACCATGACAATTCTGCTGTAAATAAGATTTTAATTTAGCATGTATAAAATAAATTATTTTGAGATTAAAAAAAAGCTTATAAAATTGTCACATTTTAAAAAATGAGATTAGATTCACAAACAATTTCATGAGAAACTGATATAGACTAAAAATATTTTCTTCTGTCCATCATCTCCTCTAACACATGATTAGCACAGATGGTTAATCAGAGCCACATTACACATCAACATGAAAAATAATAGGTAATTCTTCCTCCACGCAAGTACAGATTTTGTTGTATACAAGTACATACCTTAACATGTCTCATAGAAACCCTATCTGGCATAAAAGTTATTTTGGGTGTCAGAATCTTATAAATTCAGAAGAAATGCACAACCAAGCAGGACCCAATGTAGGTACTTGATGTGTGTAAGATGTTCTCCATTGTATGCAAGGCAAACTTTAACCAATAAATGAAACATTTGCTCTCAAGTCCCAGGTTTTCTAATGACAAAGAGGTCCACAATCTACCATGGAACAGTCTTTCAACAGCTACTCTGTTAAACTAGACAACATTTATTCTGGCATAAATATTTGTGTTGTGCAATTACTTTGGATGGAATTCCAAAAAGATTTTTCATAATTTATGCAGATCCAAAGTAGCACCTGTTGGAAACTCTTTGAAGCATCTACTTCTTTTCCTGGGGATTGTGTAGTCCTACAATCCTGAAAAAAGGTGCAGCTGTTTTAAAGAGTTGCATGCAAATACCGTTATTTATGATCTGATTAGCTTGAAAGTATCTTTTGGGAAATGAATCCAAGTATTTCACAGGCCTAAGTATCAGCAAAGTTGGTTAGGTTTCTAAATTTTATAAAACCCCCCCCCCCATTTTTACAGTTTAATCACACTAAATTTCTTTCTTTCTTTCTTTCTTTCTTTCTTTCTTTCTTTCTTTCTTT